AAAAAAAAAAAAAAAAAAAAAAAAAAAAAAAAAAAAAGGAGAACTAGCCTACCAAAAGAACACAGCCACTTCCTTGAAGTGGAGGGTCCTAGATAGCCTTCCCAAGCATTTCTCGAGGGTTGAAGTACTTATGGATCGTGAAATGGTTAGATGTATATGATTAATTTTAAGCAAATACACAGCGTTCTTTTACTTCCTGTCAACTTGTTAGCTCAGTTGATCCTAGGATCACACCTTTCATAGCACAACATCTTCACCATTATGATCCCAGACGTGATCTTTGATCCTTCCACATTGGGATCTATACTCCTCTAAATGACATGTCATGGTCATTAACATAATTATTTTTTTTTCCTCTCTTTGATTCCTAAAATTTGTTCAATCCATCCACCCTCCACCATAGCATATTGACTTGATAAGTGAAGTCAGTTCGACAAACGGCACAAAGATGTTAATCGAATACTCAAGAATCTTCTCTCTCTTGTAATCGAACATCAACAGTAGATTTTCTGTATGCATTTGGGGGATGGATCTACAGGTTTTACCCAGGAAGAAGATTTTTTAGACCTAATAGTCATAGAAGGTGATGGTCTGACGATCATACATGCAACATAACCTCTCCATTTATTCTATGTCTCTCTCTTTGATATGCCCGACAAGGCTATGCGTTCTGTCAAGAAACTTTTCAAAGATTTCCTCTGGGAAGGCACAGATAAGGTGGGAGGCTCTCATCTAATCAATTGGTAGAAAATGCAGCTTCCCACTAAGTGGGGGACTAGGCATTGACAATTTAAACCATGAATTTTTCCCACATAAAATTCTTGATAGGCGTTCATGATAGCTTTATGTTGATGTAAATATACTCTCCTTTTAGTAATTGTTGCTTCAATGATATTTTGGCAAATTGGAAAAACTCGTTGTAGTCTTCTTCGGCATGAGGTTTCCTCTTCTTCCGCTTTCTACATTTTTCATTCACTCATCGAAAATTTGTTTCCCACTGGAAGAAAAAATAGATCTATTGAAAAAAGAAATATATTTCATTGAACTATCTTCTATATCTTATGTCGACGTTGAGACCGTCTTTCAAATATCTTTGAGATCATGTAATTAAGATGCTAAAAGTTAAATAACTGACAAGTTTTGTGACCACGAATAAGTTGTAGAAGCAAGTGGTAATCCCAATTCAAATTGATGAGCATAAAGGGGCCAAGGATCAGTGGGCACCAAAGAAGTTCCGGGAAAATTTTCAATATTAATCCAACAAAGTAAACACAAATTCCAAAATCTAACAAAAAAATTAGTAAGGCAATAAGAACAAGGAATTCTTCAATCACCAAAAGCAGGTCCAAATGATTGGGAAAAGGCAAAAGCGTAATTACAACAGATCCACATAAAATCAAAATGCTCAAATTGCAGGACAGCCAACTAATAATCACACCACCACACAATGCTATACCCTGCAAAGCTCAACACCCACTTTTCTCAGGCACCCAGATGCTCAATAATCATTACACAAACACTCCTAAACTCGAAGAACGCAAAATCAAAATAAACTATTCACCAAGGACAATTCAATTCAAATTTCTCACTTACTTCAGACCAACCAAACGAAGAGCGGTAATCAACGAGAAAAGCAAACAATACCTCCGCCATTAAGGAAGGACGTTCTTAAGAGCTTTGTGGCGGCACAGAGGGTAGCGGGCTTGGAAGAAGAGGGTTGAAACGAAGAAGAAGGAGTTGAAGCCAAAGCTAATCCGGTATAAACGTGGGTTTGGACAGCCATGAGTGATCAATCCAAGCCAAGCCCAAGCAAGAATGTTGCAGAAAAGAATTTAGAATTTGTGTTGAGTTGAGATAGATTGAAGATAACAGAATCACTCGTGTTCCACCGTAATCGTTCGTTCTACACGGTTTTTAGCTTTTTGGTCCAACAAAACCGACTCTTCACTGAACCGGAATTGCCATTGTCTGGTTCGTCCCACTCGTTCTTAAGTTTTCATTTTTGTAAAATAATAATAAATAATAAAGTTGTTTTACTTGCCTCTCCACTAATTACGAGTCATTCGGCTCAACCTTGCCTCTACTTTAGGTCAAGGTCTCTCATGTGCAACGTTACATCTCGTTCATCATCTTAGTTCCCAACTACACAACCATGTATCATGGTATCATCTTATATCTTAAGATAGCTCGACCATCTTAGCTTGTTCGAACGTGTCTACTAAGACTGATCCATGTATTACTCATCTCGTTGGGATATCCCGAACATCTATCAATCTGGGTTCTCATTGGGGTATGAACTCTCCCATGTCCATACCATGTCATTTATAGATTCCATATCGGATAGCGGGTGCATATATCAACTTCCGATACATAGGTTGGACGCAATACCTACACACCCATGTCGTTCGATATTATCCTTGAAAGACCTATGAAAAACCTATTTCAAAGAAAGTGGCTCAAGACGTTCGCCCACCCTATGACACATATGAATAAGATAATTATTATTTTTTTTTTTAAGTTGAAAAAAATAAGATAATTAGAGGAATTGAAATGTAATTTAAAGATCACCCAATCTAAAATATTTATAGAAGCCACATGGGGATGCCAACTCGGCAGCTATTTAAACCGAAGGTTCAAGATTTCGTTATCCGTTTCCCAACTGTGCCAACACCTTGCTCTCAATTTTCCATGGCGTCTTCCGCCTCCTCAATGTTGCTCCCGCTTGGTAATAATTCCTTTTCCTTTTTCCTTTTGATTCTTCATCTCTACAATCTCGATTTTCATTTTAATCACAGTTTTACTTCTGTTCCATCTCTTGATTCACTGTTTTAGTCCACTGATTTTGTCTCGTCTTCTCATGTTCTGTTTTGGGGAAGAATCGATAAATGTGGGCTCTGGATCTTTTAATCTTCGTTTAGAATTTAGAATTTGGCGTTGCTTTCTTGTTGATATTCTTATTGATATCATCTTTGAACTATTCGTTAGACATGACTCTCCACAATGGTATGATATTGTCCACTTTGAGCATAAGCTCTCGTGGCTTTGCTTTGGGCTTTCCCAAAAGGCCTCAATCCAATGGAGTTAGTATTCCTCACTTATAAACCCATAATCATTCACTAAATTAGCACCGACTTTCATCATCCAACACTTCACACTACCTAAAGTTTAAAGATAGCAAAATTTTCTAATGTTTGAAAAAATGCTGAATAAAATGTCGATTTTACATGGTGACCCCGGAGGAAAAAACACGATATGTTATCTACGATGATTAAACCATGTGGGCAGGAACATATTATATGTTGGTTTTCACAGAATTTCGGTGAGAGGAGATTCAGAAAATGCGTAACAAAAGGGAGAGAGAAAAAATAACTCTGAATTTGACTGCGTTGAGGTTGTTTTATTTTGTGAATAAATCTTCCTATTTAAAGTAAAAAGGAATTCTAAAATTGGCTGGAGAGTGGCCAACTAAATCTGTGCCACTTCCTTCTAAAACTCGGGTGATCCATTCGACGTGATTTGTCAAATGGTCAAACTCACGATTTTCTGAAATCGTGTGAATAAGAAAAACGGTAAAACAGGTTTTATCTAACAATCTCCTCCTAAAACCTGTAGTATATCTACCTTACTATTTGAACTCCGATCTTTGAGCGTAGTTCTTCAAATTTCACCCGCGCCAGGGACTTGGTGAAGATGTCTCCAAGTTGTTCCTCTGTTCGGATGTAATCAATTTTGATGAGCCCTCGATCTGCACATTCTCGAATGTAGTGGAATCTGATTTCTATGTGCTTGCTTCGTTCATGCAAAACTGGATTTTTGATCAGGGAGATCGTAGCTTTGTTGTCTACGTATAGCATTGGTGGATCACTTTCTCTCCCGATGAGTTCTTCCATTAGTCGCGCTAGCCAGATCCCTTGTGTTGCTGCCATCGAAGCGGCGATGTATTCTGCTTCACATGAAGACAAAGCAACTACCTTCTGTTTTGTTGATTGCCAGCAGATTGCGCCGCCTGAGAGAAAGTAGATCATTCCGCTAGTGCTCTTACGATCATCAACGTCACCGGCCATGTCACTATCACTGTAGCCAACTAGCTTGAGTTTCTCCTTTCCGCTCCCTGCGCAGTATCTTATACCCCAGCCTCTGGTTCCGGCTACATAGCGCAGGATGCGCTTGACAGCCGCTAAATGCTCCTCCCTAGGTGCTTCCATAAACCGGCTCACATATCCAACAGAATAAGCAAGATCAGGACGAGAGTTTACCAGATAGCGTAGACTCCCGACAATGCTGCGGTAATTGGTGGAGTCGACTGTCGTCGTAGTGCCAGCCTTCCTTAGTTGGAGTCGGGCCTCCATTGGCGTCCTTGTAGGATTACTGTCCACAAGTCCAGTTGTGTCCAGCAGCTTCTTTGCGTATGCACTTTGGCAGATGGAGATGCCGGTAGAATTCTGTTGCACTTCGATGCCGAGATAGTAGCTGAGCACGCCGAGATCGCTCATCTCGAAGTTTTTCGACATCTCCTTCTTGAACCTTCCGAGGACTTCCATGTCACCTCCAGTGATTATGAGGTCGTCGACGTACACTCCCACGATTAGTCGCTTCTTGTCATGGCCGTGCGTGTACATGCCATGCTCAGAGGCGCAACGTTTGAATTTCAGTGACAGTAAGGTACTGTCGAGCTTCGCGTTCCAGGCTCGTGGAGCTTGTCGAAGCCCGTAGAGTGCCTTGTGCAGGCGCAATACTTTATTGGGGTTGTTGTTATCCAGGAAGCCAGGTGGCTGTCGGACATAAACAGTCTCCTTCAGCTCTCCGTTAAGGAAAGCAGACTTTACGTCCATATGGTGAACCTCCCAAGAGTAATGTGCTGCAATTGCAAGTAAGAAACGAACGGATTCTAACCTTGCCACTGGCGCAAATACCTCTTCGAAGTCCACTCCTTGCTTCTGGACGTAGCCCTTCGCTACCAGACGGGCCTTGTGTTTCACAACCTCTCCTTTTTCGTTGCGCTTCAGTTTGAAGACCCATTTGAGCCCTATGGCTTGGTGTCCCGGCGGCATATCCTCCAGACTCCACGTCTGATTTTCGGTGATGGATGTCATCTCCTCCTGCATTGCCTTCAGCCAGCACGGGTTCTTTTCTGCTTCGGCGAAGGTGTTCGGTTCATCTGCACTGATGGCATGTAGTTCGGCCACTTCTTCGAGCTCGCGCACTGCCAGTCCAGGTGGTTCACCTCCTCCTACTAGGTCGTCCATCCTCCGGTACCTGGCCTCCAGATCAGTATCGTGATCAGCATCCAGCGTCGAATCCGCAGTCCGTGGTGTTGCGAATTCCACTGGTTCAGGGGTTGCACCTGCTGGCGGCGGTGACGGCTGCTGATGCTGGGCTCCTCCTTCTTCCGGCTCAGTGACGAGGTACTCCACCGTGAATTGATTTGGATTATGGTCTGCCTCGATCACGTCATTCCACTGCCAGAAGGTGCTTTCATCGAAGACGACGTCGCGAGACACGTGAGCTCGCCCCCCTACAGGATCATATAGTCTGTACGCCTTGCTCCCGGGTTCATAGCCGATAAAAACGACCTTCAGCCCCCTAGGATCGAGCTTGGCGAGGTGGGGACGTGTTACCTTCATGTAAGCAACGCAGCCGAACACGCGAAAATGATGTACCGCTGGTTTTTTGTTGTACCAGGCCTCATATGGTGTCTTCCCGTCAAGGCTTCGGGTTGGTGACCGATTGAGGAGATATACGGCCGTCATTACTGCCTCTCCCCAGAATCTCCCAGGCATCCCGGCCGTCACCAACAATGACCTTGCTGTCCCGACGATGGTCTGATTCCGGCGCTCCACCACTCCGTTCTGTTGGGGGGAGTAGGGCGCCGTTAGGTGCCGTTGTATGCCGATTTCGTCACAATACTTACCGAAACTTGTCGAGGTGAATTCTCCGCCTCGGTCTGTGCGCAGCACTCGCATCTTCTTCTCACATTCGGCCTCCGCTCGCGCTTTAATGCACTTAACCGCCTCTGCCGCCTCACTTTTCGCTTGCAGCAGGGTCAGCCACATGAAGCGGCTTTTGTCATCGACTAACAGGAGGAAGAGACTCTTACCGCCTGGGGTCGCCGGCTTGATGGGCCCGCAGATATCGCCGTGTACAAGCTCCAACGGCTCATCGGCTCGATAGGATGTTCGAGACGGAAAGGGTGTGCGCCTCTGTTTGCCGATGAGGCACCCGTCGCACAGCTTGTTCACACCTTTGATTGCTGGCAAACCGTGCACTAACTCCTCCTTCTGTAGTTTTTCTAGAGCAGGAAAGTTTAAATGCCCGTACCTTGCGTGCCACCTCCAAGATACCTCTTCGATCTTGGCCGAGAGACTGACAGGTTGCTCTATCTCTAACTCCAGGATGTAAAGACGGTTTGTCGTGCGCCTTGCCTGTGTGAGCAGCCGTCGTTGATTATCGCAAATTTTGAGTAGTCCGCGCTCGATGGAGATGAAACAGCCTGTCTCATCGAGTTGACCCAGGCTCACAAGGTTAGCCTTGAGCCTCGGGATGAAGTAGACGTCGGTCAGCTTGCGATGCTCGCCTCCCTTGCTGGCGAATAGGATGGTGCCGCGTCCTTCGATCTCTACGATGGATCCGTCGCCGAATTTCACCGTCCCGCGGATCCCCGAGTCGAGTTCGGAGAATGCAGATCTAGCCCCGGTCATATGGTTTGTTGCCCCTGTGTCTAGGATCCATCGCCGGTCCTTGTGTTGCTCGTCCCGCTCGCTGATCTGAGCGAACACTCGCTCCTCCTCCAGTTGAATTGGCTCCCTAGCTGGTGCCACCTTTGCTACGCCCAGCTGAAGCTCTTTCTCGAGTTCAACATCGTTGTTGATTACCTCCATTTCCGTGGATTTGGAATCGAGAGTGGGCACACATGCACTTACCATGAAGAGAGCTGGCTCGTCCTCCTCGGATTGAGCCACATGGGCCTTTTCGGCCTTCTCCTTGTTCCTAAGCTTGCTCCAGCAGTTCCTGCTTAGGTGTCCTCTCTTCCCACAGTTCGAGCAGATTGGCCTGCCATTGGTCGACTCCTTCTTTTGATTCCCATCTTTCCCGCGCATGCGCCCGTGGGAGATCCATGGCTTCTTACCGTCTTTGCGGCTGGAGGAGGACCCGTTGCTCTGGCCGGTGTTGTCACGGAGCTTTAGACGTGCAAACCATTCCTCCTCTGTGAGGAGTAGACGACCCCCCTTGTCGACAGCTGAAATGGTATTTTTCTTCCGCTGCTCGACGTTACGCAGTCTTCCGGTCACCTCTTCTACCGTTAGGTCGTTCACGTCAAGCAATGTCTCGATTGAAATCGCAACTTGCTCGAGGTGATCAGGGACAACCTGCAGCATCTTCTTCACGATTTCTGTTTCGCTGATGCTGCCACCGAGTGTGGTGATGTTGTTGGCGAGCCCCGTGATCCGCATTGAAAAATCATCGACGGATTCACCGTCCTTAAAGTGGATCTCCGAGAGCTCCTTCCGCAACTGCTCGATGTTGGATTCCCGCACTCGCTGTACACCGCGACCCGACGGGATTTGATTCCCTCCCAGGCCGATTGCGCGGTGCGCTTGGTGGAGAGAGATGCCAGCATCTCTGGGGGCACAGATCGTAATATGGCGGCAAACGCCAACCGATCCTCACGGTACTCAATCGTTTCTCCTTCCTCTGGCTCAACAGCATGCCATAACCCTTGCGCCTGTAGGTTGACGCGCATCAACAAGATCCATTCGTTATAATTGGACTTTGTCAATATTGGATACTGAACGACGGCAGTCGTTGTCTCCCTGATCACTCGCTCAACGATAACTTGACGCCCGTCATCACGGCGTCGGCCTCTTCGTGGCGGCGGTGATGGAGATGTCGGCACACGGCGAGGACGTGGAGGAGAGAGTGAGCCGGCCCGAGATGGGCCCCACGATGTGTGTGTTTTTACACTTTGCATTTTCTTCTACTCGAACCTGAGACCTGTGGGATATTTGGTCAAAGCTCTAACCACTTGAGCTATTCAACTTGTTTGTTGATAGGTTGGCTCCTCTGCAATGATATACACCGATCTTCAACTTGGCTCTGATACCACTTGTTGGTTTTCACAGAATTTCGGTGAGAGGAGATTCAGAAAATGCGTAACAAAAGGGAGAGAGAAAAAATAACTCTGAATTTGACTGCGTTGAGGTTGTTTTATTTTGTGAATAAATCTTCCTATTTAAAGTAAAAAGGAATTCTAAAATTGGCTGGAGAGTGGCCAACTAAATCTGTGCCACTTCCTTCTAAAACTCGGGTGATCCATTCGACGTGATTTGTCAAATGGTCAAACTCACGATTTTCTGAAATCGTGTGAATAAGAAAAACGGTAAAACAGGTTTTATCTAACATTATATGCATATATTTTATGAGTTTAGCAATCCTGACGAAACTGACATTTTAGATTACGCTGATGAAATTGAATTCACATAATTGTTGGGGACATGGGAAGAAAAATAAGAGATAGAATGAACGTTATTTCAAGCATCAAAATGACTGGATTAATCTTGAATTCAATATATGACTGGATTAATCTTGAATTCCATATACTATGGTATCTTAATAACTTGTATATTTGCCCTCTTTCAACTTGTCTTCAGGTTCTTCCATCCATTTAACTTGTGAAAGTTCCTAGTGATTATGACAATCATTTTTCCTAAGCTTGGACAAATTTATATCTGTATATTATCGAAATGTTATCTTTTGTTCATATTCCTATGCCAGTGAGACATTTGGTTGTGTGAGAAACAACTCAATCGATTTCTTATTAACTGTTTAATGAACAATCTGTCTTGTCAATAATAAGATGTAGATTTAACATTCTGCAAAAATTTAGAAATATAGGCAGCACTCTTCTGTTCCTGACATAACCAAATTTGTATATAAACCAACGACTGGTATTAACTTAGCATATCAAATTGGTCTTGAATTGTAAGTGCTCCGTGCAGATATCCGTCTTTGAAGTATTCTTTTCATCTGAGGAAAATATTACTTTGCATAGATAAAAACTAGTACAGGACATTATCTCTATTTGAGCCATGAGGTTGTGGAAATTGATGAAATCGGTCATCAGATATTCAAACTTAGTTTCCTTCTTCAAAATATCCAACTTAGATTCTTATCCAATGTGGAACTGTGGATCGTGGAAAATGTTATATCACTTGAAAGGATTGTAATTTAAAAACTCCACATTGAACTTTTTTTCTAGGATTGTATCTGGATCTGCTTCTTTTTCAACTGAAAAACATCAAAACTTTCATCTTTTCACATGTTTGGAAGTCAGCTGCAAAGAGAGTCGTAAGTAGAGAAACGTCAGATTACACTTGGAAGAGTTCTTTTTTTTATTTTTGAGTTCTGTCATCGAGTCTGACCTTTTGATCGAAGATACATGCTTTGTGCCATTGAGCTATATTCAAATGGGCACACTTAGAAGAGTTAAATACTTGTTTTTATTTATTAAATTATCACTAGGGGAAGGGCACATTGTTTCGGAATGTAGACTATGCACTAATTTAATGTTTGATGAAGTGCACATGCATAACTTATATTTTCAATCTGTACTTGAACATTTTAACCTTATACTTTGAGATTCATCTCTTCGATGCTCATCTTGTTGCACGAGTCAGGTTCAGCTTCTGGAATACACCAAAGAATTTCACGTGATAAAATACGACCTCTTGTTGTGCGCTGCTTGAATGCCAATATCAATGCAAAAGAATGGCGGATGAAAGAGTATGGGAAGGAACTCAATTTGACTAGAAGAAGAGAAATGATTGGTTTAGTTTGTGGAATGTCAAGTCTCGTTATACATGTTCTAAATGCCAAGGCAGCTGGCCTGCCTCCAGAAGACAAGCCAAGATTATGTGACGATGCCTGTGAGAAAGAACTTGAAAATGTATGGTGAGGTTACATGTCCTTTCATTAACTTGGATTGTATATCAATTAAGTTCGTGAGTTCTCCGCCCGGTATCTTCTCGTCTCTTCGTAAACCTTTCTCCTATTCTCTTCCTACTTTTTGTATTATCTTGATACTCTAGTTTCTTTGACCCAATACCACTCCTAATTCTATTTTTTTTTTTTTTTTCTTTGTCCTGCATCTCTTAGTTCTAACTTTTCTTCGATGCTTAAAGCTGATTCTTATGGGGGATACATTGTTAGAGTTGGACACTTAAATCTTGATGGACAACTTTGACATTTTTATTAGTTCATTTAAACATTCATGTCTAACAACATTTTATATTATTCTAACCACTCTGGGCTGACCTGGTGATCAATAAGGGGAAATGTAACAATAAATGGTTTACAGGAGTGGGTTTAACATATGACAACCATCTATCTAGGATTCGATATTATACGAGTTTCTTTGGCAACAAAATATGGGAAGGTCAGGTAATTATCTGAGGTGCATGCGTGACTACTTAGATACTCATAGATATTGAAAATATATATATATATCATTTAAAATTTCACCAAACAACTTCAATTTCTTAAAGTTGAGGCTGCACTTGTATATTTAAGACTAACTTTCTCATTTGCAGATCCACCTAAACAATGACTTTTGGAATTCTTATTGTTGATGAAGGTTCCTATGATCACGACTGAGTCTGGTTTGCAGTACAAGGACATCAAAGTTGGTGGAGGCCCCAGTCCACCTGTTGGATTTCAGGTCTGTTATTTGTTCTGTTTTCTTTAGTAACTTGTATTAACCCGTCAGTAGACAATTATTTATCCAGGTTGAAATGAATTTGTGAGTAAACAGTGAAAAAAGTTCAAGAATTTTGGCTTTTACCTCAATTTCTAACCGTTATGATGATTTACACGCAGGTGGCCGCAAATTATGTTGCAATGGTTCCATCTGGACAAATTTTTGACAGGTTAAGCCGAATGCATTATGTGGACGCTATCAATTGACTTGACCTTAAAATATTAATCTGCCTTCCATTTTATATAGTTCACTTGAGAAGAAGCAGCTTTACATTTTTCGCGTTGGATCTGGTCAGGTAAGTGGTTTAAGTGCCTTTTCTTTTCTAGTCCTTTGGGTTCATGAGTTTATTACTGTTTTTTGAAACAATAGAATAAAACAGGTGATCAAAGGACTTGATGAAGGGATTTTAAGCATGAAAGTTGGTGGGAAGCGTCGACTGTACATTCCTGGATCTGTAAGATGTGTTTTCTCTATTTCCTCTCGGAGTTTTTTCGACTTATTTTCCTCCTAAAACACCTCAACCCATTAAAACTACTAGGAACGTAGGAGCTAATGATTGCAGTCTTGTAAAATTAATTTGACTGTTTGGAATGATACCTAGAAATTGAAATTCAAGAAAAATAGAAGCAGAAATATATTGCAATATGGGGTAGAACGAGATAATCAACTGGAAAAGGAAAGTGGACAATTGGACCAAAGAAAGTAGGATGTCTGAGATCCCACGTCGATTGGAAGGATAATGAAGCAATTTTTATAAGAGTGTCGAAACCTCTCATTAGTAAACGCGTTTTAAAATTATGAAGTTGATGGCAATACGTAACAGGCCAAAACGGACAATATTTGCTAACGGTGGGCTTGGGCTGGTTACAAATGGTATCAAAGTCAAACACTGAGCAATGTACCAGTGAGGGCGCTAGGCCTCCAAGGGGGTGGATTGTGAGATTCCATATCGGTTGGAGAGGGGAACGAAACATTCTTTATAAGGGTGTGGAAACCTCTCCTTAGTAGACTCATTTTAAAACCGTGAGGCTGATGGCGAAGCCAAAGCAACAATATTTACTAACGGTGGACTTGGACTATTATAATATCCAACCGATTGTTCAAGAGAGTAACATCACGTTATAATTCTTTTTCGATGTTTGTGGTCCTGTAGTTGGCATTCCCAAAAGGCCTAACATCAGCTCCAGGAAGGCCAAGGGTAGCTCCAAGTAGTCCTGTGGTATTTGACGTCAGTCTGGAATACATACCAGGCCTTGAAGATGATGAAGAGTGAGTAGCTATTACAATGATCTCTTGAATCTCTCATTCGCTTACCAGAGGAAGAACAAGCCAGAAATTTGTATATGATGAGAAAACACTTGCCGCTATGCTTCAGTTTTCCCCCTGCCTTGTTACGAGTGTATAATTATATTTGTCAAAAAGATAGAGAGAATTTGATGAGGAAAAGTTAAGAAATACTGAATTATGTATCTTTCTTCACCTTGATTTATAACTCTCTTCCTATAAACAACTATTTATAGGACTTCTAAAATGAAAATTCAATTCCCAACTCGCAGCGAATATCGAAAATCAGTGCTATTTTCACTTCGGTTATGAATTCAATTCTCAATCTCATGAGTTACATAGAGCGAATATTGAAAATCACTGCTATTTTCACTTTAGTTATGAATTCAATTTCTCATGTTAAACATATTTTAGGATTCTAAAGAATCTTAAATTTATAATTTAAACTCGTCACATTTTAATTTCAGTAATTTATAAGATGTTGATAGACAATTTTCATCCATACATGGCGATAACATAGTACTGATTAGTATTAATAAAAAAAAAAAATTAGAGTTAGAATACTAGTTGGAATACTAGTTTGATTTCATATTTTTTTTAAAACTTTTTAAAAGTTCAAAAGTATTATTGAAATTTTGAAAGGTTTAGGGATTTTTTTTTTAAGACATAAAAGGATATTTTTATTAGTTTAGTCCAATTCTTTTTTTTAATAAAATAAAGGTTAGAAAATGTATTTTGTATAATTTATTATTTTTTTTATAAGAAAAGAAAGGCTTCAGATTTAATTTTTTTTGGGTATAAAGATCTTCAATTTGAAATATGGTTTTAGAAAATAATTTCGTGGAAGCAGACCCCAACTGGAGCGTAAGGCCACCATTCCGCCTTCACTGAACTGAGTTTCTCGCAAAAGGGCAGTCGAGATGAAATCTACGCTAATGGGTCGTCTTCAACTCCATTTACCTCAATTGGGTTTCCGCCAAAACCTCACAAATCCAACCCTCCATTGTTGTACGGCAGGTCCACCTCCAAATATCATCTGTGGCCTCAGAAAGGGCCAGAGGAAGCCCTTAGGTAAGTCAAGGGTGCCCTCCACTGAGTCTATTCAAGCAGTTCAGTCGCTCAAGCTCGCTAAATCCGCCTCCAAAATGGAAGACGTAATCAATAGCAAGCTTAGCAGATTGCTGAAAGCAGACTTGTTTGATGCTCTGGCTGAATTACAGAGGCAAAATGAACTGGAACTATCGCTTCAGGTATTGCTTACTGCTGTTAATCGTCTCGGAATATTGTAAAAACTAGATATCTTACCCTTAAAATTATGAGATTGATCGAATTATACCTTAAACTCTCTTGGAGGCTGGCTTTAGTTCAACTCAATAGCAGTGGTTGCTTAGAATTCAAGGTTTAGGGTTTAATCGTCTGCGTCTTTTCAAGCAATAACTATCAGGGATTCAATTACAACGATGAGGAAAAGCCTAATGGTGCGATTGTAGCTATGTTCTTGCATCTTTTTCGCTATCATTTATTCTGTTTTAGGTTTTTCCCTTGCAAGAACTTCAATTATTTGACATTCTGATGCAATAAGTTCACTGGAGCCATACATTTGATTCTCTTCTGCAGCCTATAGCAATTCTACCACTTCAAATTTTATTTCATCTTAACTGAATTCAGGCTTTAGGTCTTCAAATTCATGCGGAATGAAGAGTGGTACGAGCCAGATTTAAACTTGTACCATGTGATGATTCAAATGATGGGAAAGAACAAAATGATTGAAATGGCTGAAGAGGTCTTCCATGATTTTAAAAGGGATGGGTTAGAACCAGACACAAGAGCTTTTAATGAGATGATGGGAGCATATTTGCAAGTAGACATGGTGGAAAGAGCTGTTGAGACATATGAATTAATGAAAGCATCAGGTTGTACTCCAGATAAATTGACTTTCAAGATTTTGATCAAGAATCTTGAGAGATTTAGGGAAGAGTTTGCTGCAGTGGTCAAGAAAGAATGTGCTGAGTTCTTGGATTCTCCTGAGAAGTTCCTCAGGGACGTTGAACAGAAACTGATGAAACTTCAAATTCTTTAATCTGTGTTTGATTTTTGAGGTACTCTTCTCTGTTTCTTACTGCTTTAAATGAAAGTTAATGCTTAGGAGTGAACATCTTTAGAGCAAACATGAGTGTGTTCTTTGGATGATCATTGTTTTGGACTTCTGAGCCTTTGAGTTCTTCAATTTCGTCTATGGAAATCTCATATGTATTGGAGTTTTGAGCCTCTGATAACTAAAATGTTTCTTTTCCATTCATACAGTCCAAGAGTCTCATCCTCGTTCATACATGTTCATAAGTGATAATTTATATTCAACCCGAGTAACTAGAACTAAATTTGGACAATTGTAAGTATAAAGATAAAAATTGAATGAACTTCACAACTAAAATGATGTTTTAACCTTTAAATTGCTATTACATAAACATAGTAGAACGGATACTCGTCTCCTTGAGCTCGACGATCAAAATCTCTCGAACATAATAGACAAAATAAGCATGTCAAGATCAACCATCCATCATTCTTCTAATAGATAACTTCATTAGATCTAAACAAAAACATGTATTTTACTCCGTCAAATATGGTAAATCTACAAACAATTGCCCAGAAAATACAAATGATACATGGCAGAACATTTGAATCGTTTCCTCACACAAGAAGAGCAGCAGAAATCCCATTCAAGAAAGAAGAGAAAAAGGAGGGAAAAATTGGCCAACCTTAATGTGAGTGAGTATAACAAATCCCATTCAGCTAACAAGGTGTCTTGGAGAATTGTTGAACATACTGTGCCACATGAATGCTCTTGAAAGCACCATCTCAAGCTCTTGATGGGTCCAGTTTTGAGTTGGAACATGCTGGAGAAACATCACCAATTCTTGAAAATCAAGTTTCTGCAGCTCTTCAGACCACTGAAAAGTATGTAGAAAGAACCTCTAAGCCAATGTTATAACAAACAAGATCTTCACTCATTATTTTAAACAAGAACTCAGAGAGATCAGAATCTTAGGATCACTCATGGTGATGTAAACCATTCAAACCATTTACAACTGCATCAAATTATCAGAACAAGTGTCGTTCCTGAGTATAACATGTCGAATGAAAATACATTCGTCGAGCCTAGGAAATTCTATGTGACCATTGGTTAGAACGAGTAGCTTTTGCTTCAAAATACATTGTGATCTAGAAAATGCTCGTGCTAACTATATGTAGACAAGGAAATCTGATGGAACAAAACAAAACCATAATTTTATGTCCTTACCGTCAAAAGAAAACTGGCAAATATGTAGACAAGGAAATCTGGCAATGAATCCCCTTCCGCAAGATAAGTATCCCATAACCGGGTAACAAGGTGGAAAGGAATCTGATGGAAGAAAACAAAACCATCAACATTGCATTATACAAATGTGACTGGAAGAAAATGCAGAAGTATATATACAAATGGCGTGGCATACCTCGCGTATCAGAAGACAGTTGAACCACCGAAAAGCGAATTGAAGAAATTCCAGACCCTGCTCCTCCATGTGTCTTGAAACAGGTTCTGGCCAAATTAAGGAACACACAAGATTGGTTAATGAACGGCTTACCATATCCAATTCTGTAGGCTGTGAGGGAGATCAAAAGAGACTTACCATCAATCCTCCTAACTAGCTCCTTCAATTTAAATACAAGCCTCTGAATTCCGGGTTGTGCAAACGTGTAATGATCTTGCATACCATCGAGCAATTTAGAAAGACACCAGTAGCAATCGGCCTCAATGTTTGTGATCTTGTCAGGAGATAGATCAGAGATGGACCATTTCTCAACACCACCTTCTAAGTATTCTGACAAGAAGACAACTAAAAATGGAGTAGCAAGATCATTTATTCCCTGAACATATCCACTCGCAGGATGCCGAATAGCCCTGGGTTGAAAATAATTGGGTAAATGATATATAATACATCAATGACAATGTCGTGCAATGTTCCACAGCTCGGACAGTGTCTACATATAGAATAACTAAGAACATTTTACGCCAATAAATAAAAATTGACTCCCTAGTTTCAAAAAGGAAAATGTACTTTGTATGTAAATAAATAACTAAACTGATACTTCGCATGTAACTTTTGATCACATCAAAAACCCCAAGTTAAATTTTGTAATGATATCCTTCGATAATTGATTCCCGTTGAAGCGATTTTCACAAGCTCCTAATAGGAAAATCGATACTACGTATTCAAATAAATAAATAATTCGATCCTCCGTATTCAACTATACAATAACATGTCTCTAAGAAAGATCTCCCCTCAAAATTCTAGTGATGAATAATATAACGAAATAATAGTAATAAAATAACGAACAAAGAAATTTGTCACTTGGTACAAAAAACAGCTATAAAGGCAGGGATAATTATTTACCAAGTATAGAGAATACGCTCCAAAGATTTCTGAACTTGTGCTTGTTGAAAGAAAGCAACGTCAGGTACAGTTCTAGGACAATCAACAGCGATCTAACAAAAAGCAAATTTCAAGGATTGGTAGAACTAGAGAATAATATTATAAAGTTCAGCACTAACTTGGCAGTCATTACCTGGCGGAGCATGTTTATCTCATCATCAGAACGTTCAGTATCAGGAACGTCATAGAACTGTGCAACGCTGTCAAGATACTCGAGCCTCTTTCTTCGTAGAACTCCCTCCTTTCTATCTGAATTAGGTGGTGCATAGCCCTGTGGTCAGTGCATATTTAAATTGTGGACAAGCAAATGAAGGCTTTCTATCAGACAAGTTCAAAGTTAGTTCAAGATGAAGGTAGGCAAGTCTATGGGTAATTTTCTATCAGACAAAACCAAAAAAGTAAGGAACTCCAAGAAAATACAAGAAACTAAATAAAACAATGAAGAACAGAGCACGCCCTGGGGAGGAACAAACACAATAATCCCAGAAGCAAATCCATGACACGGAAGATTACTCAAACTAAACTAAGTTAATGCATAATCAGCATCTAAACCACTGCCCAATGGACAAAAGCCAGAAGAGAGAAGCATAACAAATCCAGCTATAGAGGCTGCTCCAACTCCCAAATGAATGAAAAATAATAAAACAAACACTTACTTGGACAAGGAACCTGCAGACTCCAAAAACTTAGGAAGGCCCTCAGTAATATCTAAAAAAATTCTGAAGGAGCATCCAATACCACATCTTGTATCTTTCCATGTTCATGTCACCCAAACTTCACAAAAATATTCAGCCAAAAATTATCTCTTCCTCCTTTGATTATTCGTCTTTCAGTTCTAGTTGTTCTTGGGCAACAAGTGACTGCTTCATCTCAATTTTGACCAGCCCTCTTCATCACTAAATGGTTTTCAGATTTCTTCCACTCAGAAGTAACTTGCAAACAAAAGCCATTATTTGGGGGAAAATTCATCCTTCATTTAAATTCTTCCTTAGTAATCTATTGGCCAATTGGTGCTGTGTGATACTTCTATTCTATCATCTTTCTCCGAAGTTGCTCCAACTTTATGAGAACGGTCAAGTTTTCTCTTCCCAGATCAATGTTGTTAAGGCTTTCATCTTTTTCATTTCCTATCTTCAAGAATTTTAAGTAGATTAAATTTTTGCCTCCAATCCATCCAATTATGTTTCAAATGCTCGTCTTCCATGGTTAGAATTATTGTTGTAATACCCATTTGTGAGGAGCCAAAAATTGAAGTAGGAAGTACGAAAATAGTAAAGTTTCTTTGTATAACACCATATAAAGAGAAACACAAAGGCTGATAACTTAAAGAGGACTATCTTTCTCCACAATTATTTTAACTGAATATTTTCCTCTATTTGTATCTCCTAAACCACGCTATATAGAACCACTTAATTTTGACGACTATGCTTCCTACGCACCCTACCTATCCCATATACCACCCCACATCATGTTCATTCACTCTTATACTAATTAAAACCTGATGTCAAACATCCACCATAATGTTATTTGGCGAAAGTAATTCATTCAATAGGCATTTCTTTCATCCCAAATCATGTTCATATGCATCTGATTTCCTCTTTTCACAAAAATAGTACAGTAAGTTGATGAAAACTCTTATATCACTGCATTAAATTGTTTCAAAACCCTGTTTTGTCTAAATTTTGTTTTAAAACTCTGTTCTGCAAGCTAATTTTAGAAATTATTTTTTGTTGTTTTTCAATTAAGAAACCATTTAGAAAGTGTCTTTTATTCTTGCACATTTACATCTTCTAGGAATAAATTTAAAACTATAATACATATCAAATCGGTGTCTGCTTAAACATAAAATTGATGATATAAATAGTTAACTTAGAAAACAACAAGGAAATGGGAAACAAATGTTAGTTTTGCTTCCTTTTTCTATTTTCTTTCAGTTTGAAACCTGTTTTTATAAATTATTCTGTGAAACTAGACTTCAATATTAGCTCCAGAACGGCCTTAATCATCCAAAAATATTAAAAAAAAGGAAGAAGGAATCCTGCTTTTTATCAAGCAATCAGAAATTAAGCCAAAATCAGTATATCATCCAACTTACCAAAAGAAGCCTCCATATATTTGGGCGCATATATGGGGGAATGCCACTCCACGCTAGCTCCCGCAACTTGTCTGCATAGCAAATAGAAGGGAGCAAATTTACATACATATTTTTCAGCCGCAAAACTAATAAGAAACTACTTTTTAGAGTTGGCTAATTGCCCATCGCATCTATGTCAAGCTGTAACAATAAAACGTAAGTACCACAATGTGTTTCTTGTTCCTTTACCTACTTTCAAATGTCCATAGGTATCTGTAACTTCCAGATGGGGGGAGGATTGTTTAAAACAATACATATGCATACCTAATATGATTGTTGTCCCCGAGAGCAGCGTTGTGAACTTCATCACCCTTGCAGAATCTGTTGCTCTAGCACCCATTATTGGCTTTTGGACTTCTTTAGTAAGATCCTCAGTGTTAGATGTCGATGATTTTGACTTATTAACAATTGAATTATTATTTATAATCTGAAGATCTTCCTATATTGAAAGAGAGAGTTTCACTATAATGCGCTGTGTCATCCAAAAAAAAGATTATAACTAAATTAATATGAAAATTTTCAAACCAGTCTCACCTCCTCAGATTTGGCAATGTGATTGCTTGTACCAGTATCATTATCCGATAAGCTCCTTGAATAATTCGACGGTTTATTTGATACACTCAAGGAGTCGAGCACATCTGCTCTTCTAGTTAGCAATACTTTACCAGGAATACTGCGGCCTTTAAGCAGCCTGCATCAGAGATCCTAGATGTGTGATTAAGAATTTAATAAGAAAAATATAAGAACAAAACCAGAAGCTCAAGCTCATAGCATGTGATGTCATAAGCAAAGGAATTTTGATCTTTAACAGACAACAGTCTCTGGGATAATAGACGTAATTAATAACAAAGTAGACTCCACCAGGTAACTTTTGATGAATTGGAGCACTTACAAAGTAACAACAAGATAGTTATCCAATTTTTGTAACTCGATTATCAAAATTCAAAGTAATTGGTATCTGAATGAAATTACCAACCACAGGTGTCAACATTAACAGCCCCAATGTGTACTTAATAAACTAACAATGAAATTTCCCAGAAACCAAATGCAAAACGGCATCGAACCCAGATCGTATCCAAGTAAGCCACAGCTCACATAACAAGATCTAAAGAACCCACGAAAATTTCCTCAACAATCTAGCAGAGGCTCTGAGGATCAAAAGCTTACAGAGTTGAGGAACTGAAACCGATGCGCATGAAGAATGTGTAGAATTTATGGAGCTACCCGATTAAAAGAAAAAAATGACATCCGGAAAAAACGAGCCATAATTAAAATTAGAGATCAAAATCTTACTCGGCCGACTAGGATTTCAAATCCCGTGAAAAGTAAAGCAGGAGAGGCGGAAAAAAGAGAAGGGCAGGAAATCAAAGATTTGGAAACAAGAGTTATTTGGAATTGAGATTAGTACCCTTGTACATTTCTGAGGGTCTGATTGAATCTAGAATCGAGATTTGAGATTGTGCTCTCTTTTGCTTGTCGATCTTCACCGCCAAGACTGTCATTGCCACTGTTCTTCATGTTCGCTCAACCGAACCATGCTCCGTTTGCGCTCCCTGATATTTCTCTACCCCCAACAGGAGGTAGCAAATTATTGTTAATTTGTATTTTACAAGCATAATCTTTACCTTTTTTGCTACATACATGTTTTTACTACCCTTTAATTTTTTATTTTTTTTTTCAAATGGAAATGGACTAGTCGAGTGGAATATCGAAAAATCGACTTCGATAGTCTGTTCGTGGGTTAGTTTGTAACATTTTTAAACTCAACCTTAACCTAATCCAATGTTTAGGGTTCCAGTAACTCAATAATGAACTTAATCATCAAATAAAATATTTAGTTGAGTTCGTCTTCTAAATTATTTAAATCATTTTTATTTTTAATAAAAATATAATGCTAATATGTAGAACATTCATTTATTTACTTACATGTAAATTCAATATATATATATATATTTAAATAATATTTAAATAACTTACAAATTTATTTTGATGATGGCTGAAAAAGAGGTAAAAAAATAAAGATGAAATTAAATATAATAATAATAATAATAATAAATCTATTAATCAACTAAACTTATAAAATTCTATATAAAAAAAAATATTTTGTTGTTAAATATGTATTTAATCCTATTTAATTTAAAATGTAAGATAATGTAGTAAGATTTTGTCTCCATATTTACAATTAATTATAGAAATAATATTTTATTTAGTTATAAAATATAAAACATCAAATAAAAAAATTGTAATTATTTTATTTCCTCCTAGCGGAAATTTATTTATTTATTATTATCAATTTTTGTTACCATGAATGAAAGGGAACAAATTAATTATCAATTGAATCTTAAATTGATCTTCTATTGAATATTTATTTGTAAAATATGGGACTGATCCTAATACATTATCTCTCCCTAACATGCACAATTATAAACTATGAGATGACGACAGTACGTAACAGACTAAAACAGACAATATCTAAAACAGACAATGAATTTGGATAGTTACAAAATGGTACTAGAGACACCAACGAGGACGCCGCTGGCGAACGACAGAAATAGATCATAAGATCTCACATCGAATGCTAACCTCAATAAAGGTGGATTGTGAAATTTCACGACGAAACACGTTACTCTGTGAAAACCTATAACCATTATGCAATTCAATTAAACCAAAAGTAAATGATTTATGATTTATGCTATACTAGCAATAGTACAATGGGAGTGAAAAAGACTCGCAAGCTACAAAAAGTACATATAATACAAGAAAGCCACAATTTAAGAAAAAAAATATCTATATAATGAAATGCTCAGCATGGTGAAAAGAATGTCCGGTCAGACGGCAAACGGCGGCGCATTATGGACGGAGACGGCGTTCAAGAGGTGGTGCGTTGCCTTCTCGAAATTCACAAAACCCATAAACCAAAACTCATGGCCGTCCACGGTGGTGATCTGGAGGTACCTCGCCGATGGGTTTCCCGGCATCGTCACTGGGTTCACTGCTGGTATATGCGACAGCGGTATCATAACCTGCCCAATCCCAACCACATCAATTTTCATTCAAACTAAATTCAATATCATGTTCGTAATTTTGTAGAGAAGAATTTCGAACTACATTCAATATCATGTTCATAATTTTGTAGAAAAGAATTGTTAGAGCGGGAGTCCAAGATCCTTCGGCCCAATGAGGCTTTTCCCGATTCCTAATATGGTATTATAGTCATACCCTTGACTTAGTAAAAAAAAAATTGTGAGTATAGAGGTAGTAAAAAGTGACTCAAATATGGAACAAATAGGGTACTTTAAAGAAGAAGTCTAGCCTCGATTAAGAAGAGACGGTTCGAGGGCTCAATAGGTCTCATGGATGTTCTATAATCTACTTTGTTTGAGAGGAGGATTGTTGAGAGTGAGCCCGAAAATGATGGTGAGTTTACAAATAAATATTATTCTCCACTAGCATGAGGCCCCTCGAAAACCCTATGCTTAAGGTAGACAATATTATACTACTGGGTATGAGTTTACCTTGTAGTAGCTCCAAGACGGTTGACCAGAGGGAGCAGTGAAGTAAAGTGGGCGATCACTGCAAAAACCCAGACGCACCGTCGACAAATACAAAGTTCCGGCCACCGGACCCGCCGCAGTGGAGAGATAGCAAGCAAAGCTTTTCATCAGCTTCTCATTTGGCTCCGTCGCGAAAGTCTGCTTAAACAGAGACTCAAATCCCCCTTCCGTTATAGCCTTCGCCGTCAAGTTCAATTTACCCCAAGCCGCCTCCGACATCGACGGTCCAGTCCTCACTGCAAAATTAAAATTCCAAAATCCTTAATAAACAATCCGAAAGCCCTAATTTCAGCGCTAATTTCAATCCATCACCAAATTCACTTACGATTGTGCCAGATGTTACGCGCCATAGTCTCTGCTTTGTTGCTCCACGAATTGAAGGCGTGTACCACAGGCTCGAACGGGTTAGTGCTCGGCCGATGATCCATCGGAGAGTACTGCACGTACGGATGATGGTGGATCTTCTGCTGATCCTCGGCGTTCCAGAACGCCGCCTTCTGGTTATCCGGATGCTCAGAGGGAGCCGCCGGCGGCCCCATAACGTGTGTCCCCCATTTCTTTGATTCCTCCTCCGTGGACGGCGGCGGAACAGGGGAAGCCTGAGATTCGGTTGGTTTAGGATGTTCAGAAGCTCCGGCCATGGTGGATTTTCGATTGAGAGATGATGGTGGAGGGGGAGGTATTTATAGGGATAGATCTGGATTGGGATCGGAGAAAGGCGACGCGGTTTCTGGAAGAAGGAATTGTAAATGATTCCTTCGATAGAAAGAAAAAGGGAAAATTCGAGGGGTTTTGGAAGGATTTTTCAAATGGAAAATGACGGCTGTAAGCGACGGTGGGCGGTGGACGGAGTTGTGTAAACGAAAATGGAAAAATCTGGAACAATTGAATTTTCATTGATGACGAATTAGTTTTTTTTTATTATTATTATTATAAATTAAATAATATATATTTACCACGTGGCACGTGTGTTCTCATTCACATTCTAAGCAACGTGGCGCCAGTCCCAAGTTTTAGAACGTTTCATGAACGGAGGAGGCATCCTTCCGTCTCGCTGCCGTTTGGTCACCCCAAGGATTATACCCAAAAAATTGATAATTAATCTTTTTTTTTATTGAATTTAACCCACTAAAATTTATTATTAAATTTTAAAAATATAATATTACTTACTATTAATAAAAATATTTTAAAATTTTATTCTTTGCCAAAAAAAAAATAAAAGGTATTTTTTAATTTTCTTTTAAAAAAAATTAAGAGTATTAATTAACTATGTCAATTCAACCTTATTTTTTAAATATGTCCAAATTAAAAGATATTTTTAAAATATATATTTCTTAAATATAAGAGTATTTTTGAAATTAAAGTATTTTTTTTAGTTTTATTTGAAAATTTAATAAAAAAACTTGAAGGCATTTTTATTAACTTAGCGAATTAATTAGTTTAGGATTATGTTTGAGGTTATAATTTTTTGTAAATTATTATTTTACGATATTAAGTAGTTTCTTTACTTCCGGCGATAAAAATCTACAAAATACTTGCACCTTATCCAGTAAGATTGTTAGGAATGCTTTTGGCGGTTGATTCCGAAGTTCATGCTCATGTTCTTCAGGTGTGTTTTCTTTAATTTCGGTTTGTTTTTCTCATTGTTCACTTGGATAAAGATGGATATGGGCTCCTTTGTTTAGGTGTTCTTTTGATTTCTGGAATCATTTTGCGCGTTGAAGATGCTTGGGATAGGGTTTCGCAAGAGCTCTAAAAAGATTGCCATACCACTAGTTTATGGATTTATGTGTTAGGGTTTATGACAGAAGAGTTCTAATTGTTTAGGGTTTCTGAATTGTGATTTTTCTGCACTAAATTCTTATGTGTTTATGTTTATCGGGAATTGTGTTAAGTCTCGAATGTTGAAGAACGGTAAAATTTAACTGGTTTATGTATTCTTTTTGTATTGATTGGGTTAGCCTTGCTTCTTCTTTTGTTTAATATTTCTACAAAATGGTTCACTAGACTGGAGTGTTAAGACTTTAGGTTGTGATAATGTCGAGCATGCAGAATTTGTACAATATTTGTGATAACGTTGCCTTGTTTTTTGGTAAAAATGGCAGTTGAGTTCTTTGTCATTCTAAATGTTTTCTTTGGAATTCTTCACCATTTTGTTATTGATTAACTTTTAAGCTGACCGAGTTTATGAGTTTTGAAATAGCTTATTGATCGTTCAATTGTGTTTTCAAGTCTTACGTTAGTATGTTGGGGACAAATTTTTTGTTGATCCTTCTTTACATTTTTGTACAGAAGGAATGTTATTTCAGAATGCAGTTTCCAACAATCGCTGTAATTCTTAGGCTTAATGGTCTATTTTCATTCATCTCTTATTTCGTCTAGTAGCACATGAAGTTTACAACATATGATTTCTTATTGAATTTTTTTTTTTTTTTTGGAACTATGCGTTTAGTATGGTGAATCAGGTTGCAATAAAATTTTAGAACTAGATACTAGTATCCAGTCATAGCAGTCAAAGTTGTAGATCAAAAGTAAGTTCAACAAAGAAAAACTTCTTCCTAGATGTTGCTAGCCTATCTAATACTTGAATCTGGTGTCCCGATAAACAATTACAGGCCCCTGTTACTAGGCTCGATTCAAGAAGGCATTGATTGGGGTTGCAAGCCGACTAATTTTGTTGATTCCAGTGATTGGATTATAAGCATGTAAAAGCCCTCCTAGATATGCTTCCACTGGATTTCATGTCATGGACTTCGATGATTGGAAATCTTTGTTTAAATGCAAAACACCTAGAAGTTTTGTCCCTTTTTGTCCATAAGTTCCAATGCTCATCAGGCTTGAAACCCGATAACCACATTTTTGCTGCTGTTTTCAAATCATGTGCTGCCCTTTTTGCCATCAACGTAGGAAAGACACTTCAAGGTTATACAGTGAAACAGGGGGAATTAGCATGCCAGTCTGTGTACAAGGGATTGCTGAACTTGTATGGCAAATGTGGTGCTTTTGATGATTGTTGGAAATTATTTGAACAGTTGGAATACCGTGATGTTGTTACCTGGAACATAATCTTATCTGGGTATTGTCGGTCCCAAATACATGATACTAGGGCTATGAGATTATTTGTTAAGATGCATGCAGAGGGGGAAGTGAAGCCGAGTGCAATTACAATTGCTACCATTCTTCCAGTATGTTCTCGTGTAGGGAAAGGTGTTGTTGGGAGGAGCATACATTCACATATTATGAAAACTGGATTGGAAAGGGATACTCTTGTTGGAAATGCTCTCATATCAATGTATGCAAAATCTGGGCAGTCACAGAACGATGCATATGCTGCATTTAACAGCATTATTCACAAAGATGTTGTTTCATGGAATGCTGTAATATCCGCTTTGGCAGAAAAGAATTTAATGTTCGATGCATTACACTTGTTCAGACTGATGCTGAAAGAACTCATAGAACCAAATTATGTAACAATTGCATGTATTTTACCTGTTTGTGCTTCCTTTGGTAAGCATGTTTCCTACAGGTTTGGAAAAGAGATCCATGGTTATGTGCAGCGTAGGACTGAATTGATGGAAGATATTTTCGTCTGCAATGCATTGATGAACCTTTATTTGAGGGTTGGACAGATAAGAGAAGCAGAGATCTTGTTCTGGCGCATGAAGCAGAGAGACTTAGTTTCATGGAATACTTTAATTTCTGGATATTCATTAAATGATAAGTGGTTGGAAGCTGTAGATCATTTCTGCAAGTTGCTATGCTTAGGGATTGAGTTTGATTCTATAACTTTAATTAGTGTTTTACCTTCTTGTGCATACTCGCAAAACTTGGGAATGGGGAAAATGATCCATGGTTATATTATTCGTCATCCTATTCTGAGTGAAGATCTAACAGTTGGAAATGCTTTAATTAACTTCTATACAAAATGTTATGATATAAAATCAGCATTTCAGTCATTTTCCATGATTTCTGGTAAAGATTTGATATCTTGGAATTCAATGCTTAACGCTTTTGCCGAGTTTGGGAACCATACTCAATTCCTGCATCTCCTTGGCTGGATGTTGCAGGAAGGTTTCAAACCTGATCATTTTACTATCTTGAGTATAATCAGTTTTTGCGTTACAGTTTTAGGAGGAAGGATGGTTAAGGAGACTCATTGTTATTCAGTTAAAGCTTGTTTCCTTGAGGGTGATTCTGGTCCTACTATACTCAATGCTCTTCTTGATGCATATTCGAAATGTGGTAATATAGATTATGCGTTACAGATTTTTGCAGGCTCATCAGGAAAAAGAAACTTAGTGACATGCAATTCGATGATTTCTTGCTATGTTAATTGTAAGTCGCCCAGTGATGCGCTTTCAGTATTTTCTGGGATGTCTGAGACTAATCTTACGACGTGGAATCTGATGATACGGGTTTATGCTGAGAATAATAGTCCTCGAGATGCTCTCGAACTTCTCCATAGGTTGCAAAATGAGGGTATGAAACCGGATGCAGTGACTATTATGAGCCTTCTACCCCTATGCAATGAAATGGCATCATTTCGCCAGTTGAAAGAATGTCATGGATATTCAGTTAGATCATGTTTTGAGGATGTATGCTTAGACGGAGCTTTACTTGACGCATATGCAAAATGTGGAGTTGTAGATTGTGCTCGTAAGCTATTTGAATCGAGCTCTCAGAAGGATTTAGTTATGTACACATCAATGGTGAGTGGGTATGCAATGCATGGGAGGGGAGAGGAGGCACTCAAGGTTTTCAATAACATGCTAGAATCAGGGGTTAAGCCGGATGATGTGGTCATGACTTCCATTTTATCTGCATGTAGTCATACTGGTCTTGTAGATCAAGGTTTAGACATATTCCATTCAATGGAAGAGGTTCATCACATCAAACCAACCAAGGAACACTATGCTTGTGTGGTGGATCTCCTCTCACGAGGTGGCCGAATCAACGATGCATATTCTTTTGTGATCGGGATGCCCATCGAGCCTGATGCTAATATATGGGGGATACTTTTAGGTGCCTGCAAGACTCACCATGAAGTGGAGTTGGGCCTTGTTGCCGCAGAGCACCTTTTTGAAACTAAAACTGATGATATAGGAAATTATGTGGTTATGTCAAACCTTTACGCTGCAGATGCTAAATGGGACGGGGTCCTTGAGGTAAGAAGGCTGATGAAAGAGAGGGAATTCAGAAAGCCACCTGGTTGCAGTTGGATTGAAGTGGAAGGAGAGAAGAACATTTTTTTAGCTGGAGATTCCTTACATCCTCAAAGAAACATAATTTATAATCTCTTGAATACATTGCATCTGCAAATTAAAAGAACTGTTGATATAACTTGATGAGCATTTACATATTGATATGTTTTGAAATGTTAATTGTTCCCTTGCACGTTGGTCAAATCTAATTCTTTGTCCTGCAGTTTTGAAAAATCATAACCTTTTTGCCCCTCGCTTGGTGAGTTTCCAATGGAAATTCAAAAGTTTAATAGTCCTTTCGGTTCTTTATGGAGAAATTTTGTCTAAGAATGTCGTCTTCTTTTGCAGGTGACCGTTGAATTTTTGGCGACTACAATGTACAAAATTTGAGGTACTTGTAATGAATTCTTCTTGGCATGCTTTACTATATGAGGTATGCTATTTGAATCTCTGACCTCAAAGGAGTACATGTTAGCTAGCATTGAGCGATTTTTATATTGGCTCAACGATCAACCACTTAATAACTAACAAGGGTTCAAAGTCTGAATATTAGTATGTTTATTTAAGTAACCGTATTCCCATTTTATAATATTTGAGAAACTTGCATTTTGCACATTTTGATCTGGGCTATATCAATAGCTAAGAAAGGGAGGAGGAATAAAGAAAAGGGCGGAAATATCAATAGTTAAGAAAGGGAGGAGGAATAAAGAAAAGGGCGGAAAGAAAAACAAGTCTTATCACGTTACGAAAAATTGACGGGTGGAAGTAAATAAATCATTTTTTCCAACGGTAAAGGGTTACAATGTCGAGTTTAAAAACTAATGGACAAAAATGGTACTAAATCTAAACCTCAACCAATGAAGAATAAGTTCTTACAGAAAACTCGATCTCTGATTTGAACTTTACAAAATTAAATGAAAAATTTTGCGAGGACAAGAATTATAACAAGGATTGAGACATCCTCATCTCCACCTCGATAGACATTTTTATAAGCAAATGACAAGTGGTACTATTATAAGAGAGAGAACCACTTGATGTCGTTGCTACGAAAATGAGGTGTAAAAGTAGTTTCAAGATTTTTGTAAGTTGATATATACATTTTTGGTACGATTTTCTATAAATTGAAAATAAAGAACTGAAATGTTTATAATATATGAAAAAATGGATAGAACTGAACCATTGAATCAAATCACCAGTGTCAAAATTTTATTTTCCTACTTTTATTCCGACACAAGAAAAAATGTCTTCTAAAGAACAAAGAACCCTAATTTATATGTAGAAGCAAATGGAGCAATAAACAAATAAAGAAAGAAAGAAAGTCAAATGAATTTGGATATGTTGCAAAGGTCAAGCTTTCAAACTCACTCCCCACCATGGAAAGATTCTCATTGGATTCGGATCCAACAAAGTCCAGACAAGACCCATTTTTTCCCCTTAACCCAGATCCGAATGAGTGAAACAAAGGTAAAGTTTTGCCTTTTTTCCCTCCCCCACTCTCCCCTCCCCACTCTCTCCACTACCCACTCTCGCCTTTATGCTTGCCGGGACCCGGTAATCCTCTTCCCACCTCTTTCCGGTACTCCACCCCCGCCATTTTTTCCGATTTAGTACCCCCACACCTTCGATTTCCCTGCCGATTGAATCTGGAAACCATTTCCGGGCGCTTGCCCTGTTGATTCCGAAGCTCACGCTCGTTTAATCGCTGCAAGGAGTTCTTCAATGGGTTCTTCTTCTTCAGGTCTGTTTCCTTGGAAGTGGGTAGTTTCCTGTTTGTTTGGCTAGGAAAAAGATGGTGATGGTCTGCTCTTTTCTTTTTAGTGGAAGCTCGATTTTGATGCTGTTTGGTTAAGCTGTTCTTTTTGTTTTCTGGAATTATTTTGCGCGTTGTTTATCATGAGTTAGCCATTTCAAGATGCTTAGGCTGTGGATTCGCGGGAGGTTTAAAAAGGTCGCCGTAAAACTGGTTTATGCATTTAGATTCATGTGAGTTCCGATTGTTTAGGGTTTCTAAATTTTGGTTTTTTCTGCTCTAAACTTTTGTGTGCTTATGTCGATCGGGAATCGTGCGTGTACTTTTGTTTCTTTCTGTAGTCTATACTTGACAAGTAGTCTGTGAATATTAACTTGTTAAGCTTGAAGTTTCTTTAAGATAATCTTTTGAACTTCACTTTGACCTTTCAAACTAAATTTTGCAGTTTAATTAAGAAATCAATCCCTTTTGTCTGATGGGCTGATTCGTTGGGCATCTACAATGTTTTTGTTTTTGTGTTTATAACACTAAAAGTAAAAGACTTCTAAGAACAAAGCAATCATGTTATTGGTCTTTGGTGCTATATGTAGCTGGAAAGGATGACAATAAAGTTGTATATATGGATAATATTTGTGATCATCCTGCAAATAAGGTAGTTGGTGAATTTACAGTGGCTGTTATTCATTGAAAGCATGCTAAAATAAAGTGATTCCTTTGCCTTCTAGTTATCTTGGTTGCCTTTTATCATGTATGGTGTATTGTTTAAATTTAGAATCCTGTGCTTGAAGGTGGCATTGGCATATTTAATATGCTATAGAGCATTTTCCACAAACTCAGAAGATTACGATCGGGGATTATTTTGCTTACGTCGATGCCCCCTGGAAGCTTATGGAATGATGGACTGCTTTCATACTGTAAGCTATAGCTATCTGAATGGTATGTCTGCTTTCCCTGCCAAGGCTGGCCTTAGCTTTAAGCGAGCACGAGAATACAAAAAAAAAATGCAATACTGAATGCTGGTTGTTACCTTATTTCAGGTAATATGTGTCACAGATTACTATTGCTTGTCATCTGCATATCCAGTTTTCATGATGGAGTTGCCTTAGCAACGGTGGTTCAGCGTCGTCTTGTTTTGTCCATGAGAGAGCAAGCTCAGTCACCTAGTAGTGTGGTCTTCGATCCCATAGAGATATCACCTGCAGTTATCCCACAATACCCTTATCCAAATGAATCCTTACCTCCAATGTATCCAACTTTTCCTACCAGATACGAACCAGTTTTAACGGGGAGATGCCCTGTAAATTTTTCTGTTATATCAAATGCTATGGACAAAACAGCATCAGATTGTTCTCAGCCTATGGCAGCACTTGTAGGAAATGCTATTTGCTGTCCACAGCTTAGTAGCCTGCTCCATATCTTCCAGGGTTTCTACGGCTTAACGTCTGAACAGTTGGTTCTGCAAGAGGCAGTTGCTAATGATTGTTTTTCAGATATCATTAGTATCTTAGCCAGCAGAGGAGCTAATCAGACAATACCCTCTCTTTGCTCTGTCAAATCTTCAAATCTCACTGGCGGGTCATGTCCAGTGACAGACGTTGCGATGTTTGAAAAATTAGTTAACGTAAGCAAATTATTGGATGCGTGTGATACTGTTGATCCTCTCAAGGAGTGTTGTAGACCAATATGTCAGCCTGCTATCATGGAGGCTGCACTTCAGATATCTGGAGGGCAATTTTCTACTGATACAAGTAGTAATGTAGCAGCGCAGCCTAATCATATGGACTCGATAAATGATTGTAAAAGGGTTGTTTATTCATATATTTCCAGAAAACTCTCCTCAGATGCTGCCAACACTGCATTTCGAATATTATCTTCCTGCAAAGTTAACAAAGGTTTGATGCTTATCAGTGTTTTCTATTTGATCTTTATATCTTCACTAGAGTGCTTATACATAAATATTCATACGAAAATACGACTTTTAACTATGCGAATTCCGTTTTAGCAAAGATTTGAATTTCTTGTGGCTAAACTAAATTGGGGAACATGGCTAATGCATTCGTTACCTTCTATATACATTATTTTGGTTGCACAATTATTCCTTTTATTGTTCTTAAAGTCTTCTTGAAGGAAAGAAGAAAAATAAAGAGAACCTAATTAGAACACGAACCTGAATAATTATAACGGACATCCATAAAGCAGGACGTACGAGTCTTTGGGTTCAGCTGATTGACCATTTTTCTCAGTCTTCTTCCCCTTTCCTACTAACAGACTGTGCTTGTCAAACTTATGAACTATTACTTTTTACCTTTCCTTATTCCTACTCCATGCTTTCTTACTTGAAATGAGTGTTGTCTGTGCAGCTTGTCCTTTGGATTTTGAGCAGCCTTCAGAAGTAATTAAAGATTGCCGCAATGTTGCTGCTCCGAGTCCTTCGTGCTGCAAGTCATTGAATTCTTACATTGCGGGGATCCAAAAGCAGATGTTAATTACCAATAAACAAGCTATAATCTGTGCAACAATGTTCGGATCCATGTTGCGAAAAGGTGGGGTCATGACGAATGTTTATGAGCTGTGTGATGTCGACTTGAAAGATTTCAGCATTCAAGGTAATAATGCTACTGCATTGTTAATCAGATTTTCCTCCGTCGTAACCGTTTCATCTTGTCTAACATTCCAATTTATTTATGTGCCTCTGCCTGGAATCAAAATGCAGCCTATGGACAGCAAGGTTCGCTCTTCTTCTCCGTTTCGAAGCTTTTTTCTTCTTATTCAAGTGATTGATCCTTGCTCTTTCTTCCTCTATCAATGAACCTATGAGTAATTTTTAGTGCAACTTGTTGGTAATTGGAAGATATTTCCAAGTAACATTTGAGAGGGAGGTTGAGAGACACAAGAAGAATTTAGTGTCGGAGAATTTAGATTGTCATTCAACGCATTTCAATGGAGTCTTGCTATCGTCTTTTCGTTTTCTTTTTCAGCGATGAAGAATTAGTATTACAGAAACGTGTGTTAAAATTTTCTGAGTTGCATTATTTTCCAAATTTTAGGATGTCTTCTTCGGAGCCTGCCTTCAGATCTGATATTTGACAAATCAACAGGCTTTAGTTTCACTTGTGATTTAACCGATAACATTGCAGCACCGTGGCCTTCATCATCCTCAATTTCATCGTTGTCTCTTTGTGCCCCTGGTAATTGATCGAAAAAGTTAGACTTAAAAGTTCGACATAAGATTTTGATTGGTCGATTAGTTTGACGATGTCTTTGCCTTGTATTGTATTTGCACAGAGATGTCATTGCCTGCTCTGCCAACATCTGAGACTAAGAGAAACAATGGTGGTATGGTTTGTGTTTTGTTTGTTGGCTTACATTTAAAGCAATGGGTGAGTTGCGTTGATGTGAAATGATATTGATTTGCAGGCCAGCGAGAGGAAGGATTGGATTTCCCAAT